AGATTCAGAAAGAACGTCGTCGGATTGAACGTCTGCGGTGCCACTGGCTTGGCTATTGTGCTGAACGGGCGTTTCTGACTGGATCGAAAATTCCTTACCCTCAGCAGCGCAGCTTTGCCGCTTCCCATTCTCCATTACACGGGAATGCAGTGAAAGAGTGACGCCATCCCCTTCACTCTTGGAGGTAGAGAGACGTTTTGTGCCGGTGTAGCCGGGAACGCCTGAGTAGAGCGGACAGAACGCCTCGTGGGAAGATGTTGCAGAGTTAGCTGGAGGGGAGGAACCGCCATGCCCGCTAACGATGGGTTCAATGGACGGAGTGATGGCAGGCTTGGCAGGTCCAGGAGAGATCCCGTCTGTGTTGGTAGGGGATGTTGGGCAGTGTCCCCTGGAAGATAACAAGGCATGTTTGTCTACTACATCCCCAGTCAATAGATGATGGTTTTCTGAAACATCCTTACGGGAGATATCACGCCCTACTGCTGAGTCTGTCATAGTAAAGTCATATCTTTCACGTAGTTCACGGACATCGGTGAGAGTGGGCGTATCACAAACATTGTCATCGGTCGCCTCCTTTGCGTCTTGGTTTTTCTGAGACTCTTGGTCTTCGGCGTCCTCGCTCTCCGATGTCTTGCCATCCCTGTCAAGATTTCTGGACTTCAGAGGTTTGCTTTCTTTCAGATGCTTTGCTGCAGAAGAGATAGCTTCCTGCACAATAGACAAAGCGTACAACTCCAGTGCTGTGGATGCCTTTGTCGTTTTATTTCCCAGCTCCTCAGACTGCTGAACTGCAGTGATTGTACCCTCCGTGTGGTGTACAGGCGGAGCCGTGTGGAAGCTGCTGTCACCGGACGAGGGCAGGCGTGCAGGTCCGATGGACTCCCACTGGGTGGCTAAGAAGCAAGGCACCTCCGAGACGGAATCACAGACTGACCGGGCCGACTTTTCAGGACTGTCGGGACTTCCGTCGCTACTCCGGGGATCGTGGTGGCTGTATACGTATCTGCGTTGGACAGGCGGATCACCCGGGCTGTCTGCACCGGTCCGCTTCACACCGGGATCCGGGTTCATTCCTGTGGATATAATTGTCTACAATTAGAAACACAGAACAAATTTAATCTTCTTACGGCTATTGTTATGAAGCATGTTACAATTAATTAGAATTTCAACCTTTGTAAGCTAGGGCTTAACATACTGTGTTTCTCAGGCAGTTACTTCTGTTACACTATCGATACGGGAAATCGTTGTCCCCAGTAACATCCCCCTCCTGACCTGACACCATCCACACACAGGTAAACACAACTGCCCTTGGTACTGAACTCCAACCACATACATGTAAGCATGCCTGTCCTTGGTACTGAACTCCAACCAAATACATGTAAGCATGCCTGTCCTTGGTACTGAACTCCAACCATATACATGTAAGTATGCCTGTCCTTGGTACTGAACTCCAACCAAATACATGTAAGTATGCCTGTCCTGGGTACTGAACAGTATCCACACACAGGTCAACATACCTGTCCTTGGTGCTGAACACCATCCACACACAGGCAAACATACCTGTCCTTGGTGCTGAACACCATCCATACACAGGTCAACATACCTGTCCTTGGTACTGAACTCCATCCACACACAGGTAAACAGCTGCTTTTTGGCGCAGAACACCATGTTTGTTTCGTATAAAGTAACACACGTTTTGTACTGTGTGTGCGTGTGCGCGTGTATGAACATGTGTCTATGTGGATTTTGTGGGATTTCACAATTATCCACAGTAGGTCGATAAAGATATATTCTAGACATTTTACAAGGTTGTTGATAGATAAACACCATATCGCCATTGGAACATCGTTCTGCGAATGGACCTACAACATTATTACGTCACAGTTTGTTTACCTGTTCTAACGAACATTCTAGAGCTGTCAGTTGAAGAATAAAGATCATTTCAAAGTTTTCAAAGTCAGGTATGTTTGATTTTTGCAGTGTCTAGTTGTGTTGACACAGCACTACATGCCGTAATGGGTGATTTAGTTGTGACATTAGACAAAAATAGTACTGTATTAAAAGCCTTATATTAGGCTAACGCTACACAAACACACACTGCGGTACGCACCCCTGTACAATATCAACGTCGATTGACCGGCATTCATTGCGGTAAACAAACTGTGACGTAATAATGTTATAGGTCTATAGTCCCTAACAACCCGCAACCCCCGTACATTGTTTACTCCCCTGACGTTAACTACTTTGATAATGTTGCAAAATTAGTTCACAACTTTTTTCAAGATTCAAAATGGATTTATTGTTTTTTCGCAGTTAAAACAACTGAATTGTAAACCAATTTACAAAACATTGGTATATTAAAACTACAGGTTTGCAATCAATATAGGCGCAGTATTAACAAACCAATAAAAATACGTTTCATACATTATAAATTTCCCGGACAACATTTGATACAGAACACTGTACTACATTTAAAAAGACAACTGAACAGTCAGGGGTTCAGTCCATAGTTATTGAGGAGTTGGACCATAAACGGTATAGGCGAGTTCTTATATCTATTCGTTCTTGCTCTCGGACAGTCTAGCATCTCGCTGTTTCTAGTACTACGGCCAGTTATTTGTGATCTCTGTGGACGTAGCCAGTCTCTGTACTCTGAACTCACAACTGTTTGGGTCATGACAAATCTTAGCTTATCCGTATCTGAAGTACTCACCTGTCCGATTTTCCACGTTGTTGTTGTTGTTGTTGTCCTTGTTTAGAGTCTATTTTACTCGCTAGACGTAGTCGCCACGCCGTGGAGTCCTTTGAACACTTCCCGGCACAGCGAGACAAATGTAAACAATCCAAACCCCACGGAACATTCGAACGCATTGTCGAACGTCAGAAAACGTTGGCGAGAGGATCATGGGAACGTCGGTACTTGGCTAGCTGCAGCCGGTTAACCAGACCGCCGTGAGCTCAGCGCTATCCCTTCGGCGCCGAGAGCGTTTGGGGCCGCCAACTAGTCCTCAATTACCGCGCTTCGGGGGGGTGGGGGTGGAGATAGGTCCGTGGCATAACTTGCCTGTGCTTGGTAAAGGCCGGGGCCGAAAAATTACCGCCAAGCCGACCTAAGGTTTGGTACCCAGGCTAGTATTTGGCAGACGTGAGGACGATACAAATCAAACTTTACTGCTCAAATATTGTAACAGGTACACTGTATGGCAAGTTTTTCAGTAGTAGTACTACGTAACTAGTATCTATGGCATTGCTAAGAGTAAGCCATAGGCGATAGGCCATCGAATTTTGTTGGTGTTGTTCTGTCAATGGACCTATTACATTATAACGTCACAGTTTGTTTACCGCAATGAATGTCGAGACAGTTTGTGGTCAAGGGGGCACACCCCAGTTTATTTTGGGTCTCAATGGACTTATACCATTATTACGTCACAGTTTGCTTACCGCAATGAATGCCGGTCAATCGACGTTTATGTTGTAGAGGGGTGCGTAGCGCGGTGTTCGTTTGTGTAGCGTTAGCCTAATATAAGGCTTTTAATACTGTAACTTTCGTCTAATGTCACAACTAAATCACCCATTACAGCATGCAATGCTGTGTCAACAAAACTAGACACAGGAAAAATCGAACACACCTGACTTTTAAAACTTGAAATGATCTTTATTCTTTAACTGACCGTTCTAGAATGTTCTTTAGAAAAGGTAAACAAACGGTGACGTAATAATGTAATAGGTCCATTCAATAGACCCATTCGACTTTCACAGACCGCATAAACTGTTGCGTCACAGGGGGGACATTTCGAAAGAACGTCGTTCTAGAACGCTGAAGTCGAACGCGGCTTGCGCTCGTGATGTCCCCCCTGGCAAATCATTTTTTTACTAAAATGTAGGTAAGTGTCTTTTTTCTCGGTAATATATGCGGAAATGACAGGAAAACAGGCACCAACATTTTATGGTGGCAATCCGTACAACAATTTAAGTTTTTTTTTGTTCTGTGACGTATGCAGTTTATGAAAGTCGAATGCCTTAATTTTATGGATGACATCCTCTAGAGACCCCCAAACTAGTGCGCGCGGGCGAATAAAAAAAAATCCGGCCAAAAATAAAAATGCTACTAAACCACAGGAATACAAATCTGGTATTGTAAATTTGCAGCAGTAAGCATAGCGATGTATATGACAAGCCGGCTCATGCTGGCTTTTTGCGGAGTTTATGAATCGACACTGTACGTATGCGTACTGAGTTCTTGAGTCGTGGAGCTTCTGGGTGCCATCCTCCAGAGTTACCACAGGCTCCGCATTGTCGCTAACTATAATGGAGTACCCAGGCCTTGAGCCAGGCCAGAGCCTCGGAGGACGTGATCTTTTTTTTGAGAACAGGCGAAAATCAATGCACGCGTGGATGTCATCCATAAAATTAAGTCGGTGTGGCCAACTTTGAACTGTAATCGCCAACACAATGAATTTGGACTCACCCAAATGAATTTGGACTCACCCAAATTTTCGACCGTAAAATTTTCTTCTGTCAAGAAATTAATGACACCTACCAACACAGATGAACTTTCGAGATAAGATTGCGTTATATTTGTATCACTTACGGAGAAATAACAGCCTACGTAATATTTTTGATTAAAATGTGCAAATTCCTGATCAGTACAGATGATGTAAGTCCACAGCAAGTAATTTTTATGGATGACATCAGCGCGCGCATTAATTTTCGTCTGGTTTGGGAAAAAAACTAGAAATTTTGTTGCCTTCTGACAGTGGTCAACATGCCAAAAATGAGCAAAGATGTCTGTTGCCATGCCGGAAGGTGGATGGCAGATAACCATGAAGAGAGAAGACAAGAAAAGGTTCTGATTTAATGTTTAATTTCTTACTTTGATGCAGTGATATGTGATGTTGGCTGTGTATATGTGATGTTTCCACTGAATCAAGACCATTTGTACAATGATTGAGTCAAAATTTTAAATTGTAGGAACCTTGTTTTTTTCGGCCCGTCTTGTTTTTTTTTGCCAGCTCGCATTAGATCTGGAGTCTGCGGAGGATGTCATCCATAAAATTTACTTGCTGTAGCCTAAGTCAGACAAAATTAAAACCCTCTCGCACGTTGTGCAGGCCGAACTATCTCCTTAATACTTTTCTCAGCGCGGCGGAAGTGAGGTGGGTAAAAAGAAGGCCATGTCGGGTTGTCCTTTTCTGTCGGAACCCTCACTTTTTCCTGTTTCTGACAGTTGAACCAGTCGCCGCGCTCCGTGCAGATATCCTTCCGACGCCGTTCGAAGCAGGTCGGGCTCAAGTCGTGAAAGTACGTGAAGGCGACTGCGTACGACACGGACGTGTTGACGGTCGCCAGACAGTCATAGAACTCCCTGTCACAGTCGCAGTGAGAGACGCGCCAAGGTCGCATGTTCTGGTAGTAGTCTGTCCTCTGGTAGCCTAGCGATAAAAAACAGTATTGCAAGCACGTCGGTGTGTTTTATCGTTTTAAATCAACAATATACCACAAAACCTATCTATCCTACAATCATAACAGTGTTTTATAATGTCTTCTGTTATAGAAGATAACAATAGTTTGGTTCGTATAATATACCAGCACTGTTTGATAAAGACATCTCCAAGCACATTTCTCGTTATTATTGGAAGCTGATATTTCACACAAATAATAAATATAGAATACAACACGGGGTATTCCGTATCGCCCGAGGTGCCAGCCCGACCGCGCGTCGGATCGCCCGACGGCCGAAGGCCGGAGGGAGATCCGATCCGCGGGAGGGCTGGGACCGAGGGTGATGCGGAATACACCGTGTTGTATTTTATTTATGTCATACCCACCCAAGAAAACACGCCTTTCAATGCGAAATGAGCGAAAATTTCGTGTCCCTAAACCCAAAAAATGCAACAACAACAATTCCAACGTCCGAATTTTGTATTCGAATTTTCGAAAGCGGTGCACGCGGTTAGGGCGAAACGCGTTGTAACTATTCTATGGAACATTTGGAAGCCCCGGGCCGTACGCATTAAGAACCCCCGGGCCGTACCGCTAGTTATAACACGGGCCGGAACACCCGTATCGAACGAAATCGCGGCCCAGGTAGGACATAATAATACATACATTACAGGTTATATGGATATTTCCACGTGTTAACTGCTATATTCGTGATGATTGGACGTTGATACTCACGTAAGAAGATTCATTGAACTTATGGCCTTATTTGTATATTTGATAAGAAACTTTGATAATAGCCTAATAAAAAAAAACGATGATTCTATACATTTCACATATTTCAGTTAGGTTAACATCATCAAAATGGATTATGCAAATTATGGCATACGTTCCATAGTTACTGAGACAATGATTGTTTGGCGAAGGTATAAGTTCGTCAATTTCAATAACTCTACCACGCTCCATTTACCGCCTTAATATGATTCATTCAAAGAAAACTGTACATGTATCCGAAATATCCATAAGGCCACAGCAAGTAATTTTTATGGATGACATCCGCGCGCGCATTAATTTTCACCTGATTTTGAGTAAAAAAAAAAAAACAAGAAATTTTGTTGTCCTTTGACAGTGGTCAACATTCCGAAAATGGACAAAATGACATGCCTTGCCATGCTGGAACGTGGATGCCAGATAAACATGAAGAGAGGAGACAAGACAAGGCTCTGATTGACTGTTTTGACTTTTACTTTGATGCGGTGATGTATTTTATTCCTTTTATACGTTCCCACGGAATCAAAACCATTTGTACAATGATTGAAAACTTTCCCTTTTGAAAGATGTTTCAGTGACAAATGGATGTTGTGACAGGTGGCAGTAAAGTTAGCATTATATAGCTATCGTTTCTTGTTTAACAGGGTTCATGATGTCAAAATTTCAAATTATAGGAATCTTGTTTTTTTGGGCCCGCCTTGTTTTTTTTTTCGCCCACTCGCATTAGATTTGGAGTCTGCGGAGGATGTCATCCATAAAATTTACTTACTGTGGCCTAAATAATTTCATTAGGTTGGTGAATGATTGAATAGCAAAAGTTTTTTTTTTTTAATTTACAACTACTTGTTTAACAACAGCCCTGATAACAGACGCCATCAAAATGTTGGTTTTGGTTAAACAATTGCAAGTGGTTGTGAACAACTTTGCTATTCAATATATTCAAAATGAAAATGAAAAGTTTATTGCAAATTCGTGCCCGGAGGCTAATTGCAAATTACAAAACATAAAAGAACAATGAAATAGAGTATAAAATAACTAAAGTCTACATGATAAAGGTAGCTGTCTAGAACTATAACTATGTCTTAAACTATGTCTGAAGGGTTTGACTTTTCTTCTGTAAACCATGGAAGACGTAATGTCCCACCTTTTCCAAAATTTGTGGGTTTTGGGAAGTTAAAAGAAGAATAGTTTTTTCTTGGTCTGTAAGTTTAGAGAAATTGGGATAAATTGTAGAAGTTTGAATAGTCAATTCATTTCGAGTGTTGTTATGGAATGAACAGTTTGAAATGAAATGTATTTCGTCTTCCACGGCCTTTGAACTACAATATTTACAAGTTCTTTCACATACACTATACAGGCTGTTCTTCAGCCTAAGTGCCAGCCGATTTGTAACGGAAACCCTGATTTTTTTGGGGTTGCCAAATGGATGGCCCCCAGGCTAACTATTCTCTAACTTACCTTCTAGAACATCAGCGCACTGCTGGTGCTGTTGACAACAACTGTCTGTCCCGTTGTTCTTTCCCAGGGTGCTGTTCGCTGGTGCCTGGACTGTTCCACACCAGTTTGTTCCTAAACATAAACACAAGATTCATTTCATTTCATTTTTATTTATTTATACAGGTTAGCATATCGCCATTTTGGCGCTTTTCAAAGCTCCCCGTGACATACATAACGTAATAAAAGGTAACTTAAGTGCAATCAAAGGGTAATGATAAAAGAAACGGAACAGACTAATAAGTACATAAACATACGAAATAAATATGACAAATGATATAAATAATAATGGAACTGAATTTGCATATCAATGTCTAAAAGCAAAATGGAAAATTAACAACAAATCATATTAACTGTACGTGTATGCTGAGTAAAGAAAAGGTAATCTTGAAGACACTGAGTGTTCTTGCATTTCTGACGTTAGGAGGAAGTGAGTTCCAGAGGGCTGTATCGGAAAAAGAAAGCGATCTCTTTTTGTACTGCAAGCGAGCTTTCGGTAGCTGAAGTCCCTCCTGTGTGCTTAGTCGGGTGTTGTGTGTGTGGGTACTGGCTACTATAACGTGGGTACTGGCTAAGATGTACTATAACGTCGTCGTATTCAGGGCCTAGCTGTCTTAGGATTAGGATCAGATTAGTGAGGCTCAGATGCTTTGCTTTTTTCTTTGTATTTGTATTATCAAGTATTGAAATAAAATAATGCAACTGTGTTGTATGTGGTGTGGTATCAGCTGTCGACAGCGGTTGTTCAATGTAGGAGTAATGGGCCATACCACACTACTCTAAGGAGGTGAAGTTAGCATGTATTATGTATTACAATAATCATTATCACCTTCTAAGTCATGTATTGTTACCTGTAACGATGCTGTTAATGTGGTGTTTTAAATTGTCAGAAGTCATTGTGAACATTATATCTACGATATCTTAGGAATCTTTGATTCCTTGCCATGTCGAAGTTTGTCTTACCCGGCCAGGTGGAATGGAATCTTCCCCGCCGCATCCTCTCGTGGTACAGCGGGGCAGTCGTGTCGTACTTTATCCTTTTCTGTGATGATAGGGACAAATTTTTATCCAATATATGATATTCTATGTGTAATGATGTTCACCATTAATTAACATACAAAAGACATAAGTACCATTATTTACCATTGTGTTATTTTATCAGTTATGCCAATGATGTTTTTATTTGCATAATTGATGTAGATCCATGTTTCTCTCTTAGTCACATTTCTCACAATTTCCCTAATTAAGTATGCAAAATTTCTCCTGATTTGCTTAGTTAGCAGCCAATTATGCCAATGATATCCTCTCCTTCCACACACTAGTACCAATACACGGCGATCAGTCAACTCCTGTCCTTGCGGATTACAGACGAACTACAGCTGTATTTTGCGGTTGGTTGTTTTGCAAATCGGACAAGTCATGAATGTTACGTTCATCGGAATATCACGATTTTTCTTTCATTGTAGTTTAGGGGGAAAGAAAGCATTTGGTGAACGCTAGTGCATGCGGCCTAGAGTCTTCCCAGATAGAGCGACAGTCATGTGTTAATACACAACGGTAATTGCCGACAACGGGAATGTTTGGCCAAAATCGTATGTTATATCAACTAGTAACGTTAGTTCCCTTTGAATTTACCCGTTTGTTTCACCGTCAGACCCCCGTTGCCATGGCAACGGCCACCAAGACGGACCCCTATGCTTATCTATGGGACTTAGTGTGGAAGTCCTGTTGGCGCCCCCCCCTTTCTGCCGTAAAAAAAGCTTACACTAACTCCAAATGACTGGGAACGATAGAGTATGTACCAGTGATCTCCGTTAATAAGAAAGGGATGGCCAAAATAGCATATTTGACCAAATAATGAGACCACTAAATGCCCCCGCCTATTGGCCTTGTACGGGGCCTAGCTAGCCCTATGGCAGGTGCCGAAGTGCACAGTTGCCAAAATCTCAGCAACCGTTTGGATTTGTGAAGTGAAATTTGGACACGTTTTACATCTTGTCTAGTTTTATCGTATGGATAAAAAGATACTCAAGGTCAAGGTCGATTAAACTGATCGTTTTTCTCCAAGATGGAAAAGACAGACAGGTTGTGGGAATAGTATAGGCACGGTCAATGTTACCGGACCCCAAGCTAAGGAATAGTCATGACTTATCTTACCGTGTCTCTCATGAACTTGGTGCATCTGCGTCTGTAGCGGTCGTGGTCAGTGTTGTCCATGTGCTGGTCTATGATGATACCTGAGTACGACTGTACGGCCTGTGGGGAGGGTACAGAAGAGTCTAGTTACATTATCATGAAAGTTCATCTGTGTTGGTAGTTACATGTTTAAAGTTAAAACTTCCTTTACCCCTCTCGAGAAATAGTCTTGTTCAGTGTCATATACATCAGGGCCCATCACCCTACATTGAACCGCGACGGGGGCCGACATCGTCTACCAGATACCTTTGACCCAGTGTTGACGTCACACTTCAAAGAAGCCACGTGACAAGCTTCACTGGGTCAGTCTACTGAGGAAGACCAGAGTGACTGGTCGAAAGCTCTAGGTGAGAGAATTTTTTGTGTTGGATCAAAAGTTTTAACTTTAAACACGTCTAGTTACATGTAGGTGAAGCACTAGAACTTACGTCCGCTTTACATGCGTATCCAAATAGACTTTCCCGTATAGTACAAATGCGTTTCCTGAAACCTTTCCCGAAACGCGTTTTCCAAAACACTTTTTAAAACGCGTGTTCAAAAAGACTTTGCAAGACGCGTTTTCGAAAAGAGTTCGAATCTGATTTATTGGCAAGCTTGGTAGTGCGCGGTAAAAAGTGACGAAGGGGTTTCGATGGTTCATGTTTGAGTTCACATTTCTCATAATCTGCTGTAAAATGGTATTAACTACTAACATGGCTGGAAAGTGTGAGAAGTGGCGTGTTTTGGGTGAAAATTGATTTCGGGCCCGAGGCTTACTTCCGTTTGACCCAGATATGCCTTTTATGCGTTCTGGGAGTGCTGTCGCTATGCCTCGCGCGACGGGCTATTATGATAATCATCTCAGTGTTAGGATTCTCTTCTTTATACTTTCCTTGATAATACATTAGGGTTTTCTCTTTCCGACAATATAAGTCGTTGTGGTGGCTACATTCTGGGTGGTGGGTTTAATTGCACGTGAAAATGGCTAAATTTTTTGTATCAATTTTCATCGAAAAATTCTTTCACCCCTAAAATTTACTAAACTTATAGAGGTTAAAGGAAATTGAAATTCTATTGTTCTCATAGCTAGAGGGATATCCTTCATTTGCAAACACTGTTTTGGCTTAAGAATTATTTCCTGAAATAGACGGTCGCTAGAGTTCAGGGTGTGCAGAATAGAATTGTGACCCAAAATAAACTGGGGTGTGCCCCCCGAATGTGTTTGCTTACTTTGGACTGATCTGTTGCACTCTGGAGCGCATTTGGGAGCATTTGTGAGATACGCGTTGTGAAACGTTCTTTTTTCTGTAAACGAGCGTCTTGCAAAGTGTTTTTCCGGGAGGTGTTTTTGAAAACGCCTGTATAAATATAGAATACAACACGGGGTATTCCGTATCGCCCGAGGTATCGGCCCGACCGCGGGTCGGATCGCCCGACGGCCGCAGGCCCGAGGGCGATCCGACTCGCGGGAGGGCCGGGACCGAGGGCGATGCGGAATACACCGTGTTGTATTTTATTTATATCATACCCACCCAAGAAAACGCGCCTTTCAATGCAAGATGAGCCAAAACTTAAGTTGGTGCCCCTAAACCTTCAAATGCAAGAACATCAGTTCCAACGTCCGGATTCTGTATTCGAATTTTCGAAAGGGGCACAAGCGGGTAGGGCGAAACGCGTTCGAATCGTTTTATGGGAGCCAGGGAAGCGTTCGATAACGGGTTCCGGACCGGGCCGTACCGTAAAGTACGGCCCGGTCTGGAACCTGTTATCGAACGTTATCGCCGCCCGGGTATGATATAAATTTAGTTATAGACCTTACGAAAGTCTCTGTACTTCAGTTGTGTGAATTAACTATAATTGTACGTATAACGGTCTATATAGGTCTACACATGTGGTGGCTTAATTCACTGAAAACATACATAAATGTGAATTGTGGTATTAAACGTGAAAGAAGATATAAAAAAATGTATTGATACATCATGACAAGGAAATATTATCAACATATCTAACATAAGCCCTGATTATATACTCATGCAGAAAGAGTCGAGGAAAGACAACTTGTATATAGACTGTAGTTTACCTCCCTGAACATGTCCCGTACAGTCTGCCTGGCTGGGACACCTGTGGTCGTGTTGCAGTCCACGATGTCGTAATTCTTGTCTAATAAGAACTGAAAAACAACAACAACAAGACTGGCAATGAAAACATACATTGCCATGGCGACGGTGGTTGCTGTTAGGGTTATTGTTTGCATGGCACTGCCATCATTTCATGATTTTGAGGAAGACTGCTTGTTACCTGTTAATTACGTCCAGACAGATACAGTGCACTCCTTCCCTGAGTGTATACTGAACGAGCCCCGGGGTCACAGAAAGTAGGGCCATCCGGGGCAGAGAGGTCTTCCCAAGGGTTTCCAGAAATGTGGGCATAAATGTGGGCAGAGATATGCTTGGGCAGAGGCATGCCTGTGGACATTCCATTCCTGTGAACAAAATGCCTGTACCATTTTTAGAATTCTTGCAAACTGCACACAGTACTGCACCATTAGGCTCCTCCCTGAGACGTCGCCAAAAAGTTGAGGTAGGAACAACTTCCTCGTTCAAAATTGTTCTCATCCTAACATACACATAACGAACGTATTGAAGATGAATTTCATTTCTTGGTGACTTGTCCTACCAATATATATATAGTGAAGAGAAAGATGCATTGTTACAGACTATTACTTTACCCTATCTGGTACACAGAACGATAGTTTCCACGTATTGTTGCCATGTCCAACTCCTATACCCACCTACGTTGGTCAATTCCTTTACACGTCATTCCAAAAGCGAGACCAAATCATATATACATGGCTATTTTGTAACTCATATATTGTTATCGATAATATTTTGTAGTTATTATTGTAGGAGATGGATTAGTTTAATATTGCTTATTAACCACCAGGTACGATTTATTTATTTCAACTACATTTACATATAATTACCTTCGCCAAGAAGGTTATGTTTTCAGGGGCGTTCGTGTATGTGTGTGTGTGTGTGTGTGTGTGTCTGTCTGTCTGTCTGTAAACACGATAACTTGAGAAGGCCTTGATGGATTATTTTGATACTTGGTAGGTGGGTAGGTCTTGATGAGACCTCAAAATGATTAGATTTTGGGCCCCCAAGCGGCTTGTTATGGTACTGCAGCTGAACTTCCGGTTTTGATATCTCATGATCTAGACATGTTGGGGTGATGAAATTTGGATGGTAGGTAGCTATCGTGCTGGGGAAGAAGTGACGTGAGTTTGGGCCCCCTAGCGGCTTGCTCTGGAACTGCAGGGATATATTCTTGAAATTATTCAAAAGGGGATAACTCAAGAACCGTTTGACGGATCGTCGTGATTTTTGGTATGTAGGTAGCTTACGTGATGTTTAATATAATTATATGACAATTAAGCAAATATGGATGTAATTTACATAATTTATGGGGAAATTCTATAAATCAGCTGCATTTCATGATAGGACAATTGAAGCTTGTGACATTGGTAATTGACAACGAGAGAAACAAAGGAAGATATTGATTATGTTAATAATGACTTAATTTGCATAATTAATGAGAACTTTTTTATAATTATGTAATGATAACTGCCTGGAATTTCATACTTGTGGTATTTGAAAGTTTAGTTGAGGTGAACATCATTAAACATAATTTATTCAAATCAGGACCTCATTTGCATAATTTAGTAGGAAATGCTAGAATGCATTGTTTGTTAAGACTGTCTTTTGGTTGAGATTATGATAAAATGATATAATTCATGAAAATTAGGTTCCTATTTCTTAAATCAGGGGGGAATAATCTAATCTATAATTTGTCAGTCATAATGATTAACATCATTTGGCGAAGGTATGAGATCGGGGAACTCTAGTTACATATAAAAATGGCCATGGGAAACAGGCCTAAGAATTCCTTTTCAACTCCCTGACCACATTTAGGAAATGTTAATAACAATAATTGTAACAAATAGTAACAATGAGATAAGAAAGTAATGCAAAATAATATAGTAATGTATGATATCTACGTCTAACAATTGTCTAACAATAAAGTTAATCCATTCATTCCTAATCCTGGGGTTTATCGGAATGTTATTCCTATGTCTAAAAACGAATCCAATAGTAACAGGAGCCAGGGCCTGAAAAATGTGATTTCGTGGCACCCACTTTACAGAAAAGGTTTGACCTTATTTTGTGGTAGAGGGGGCTCTGCCGCATCAGACAAGGTAACACGAATAATTGCCTAATTTCGGAAAGTAAACACTACGTTTTATGTACCAAAATAGCTTAAAAAATCGAATTTAAAGTGCCATAAAACTTGAAAAAAGTAGAATTTGGAGAAAAAAATTTACATTTTTGTTATCCCCATCAAAAGTTGTATCAGCCTATCAAGTTTCATCAAAAAACGTTGATATTTAATTTTCTGCCACTCCCCCTTGAAAATGTGCCTTTTTTCGCTTGTTCTATTCAAGTGTTACACCTTTACGGGCCCGTAGAAAAAAAGTGATACCACAATTTGAGCATAAAAATCATACTGGGTGATGTGGCAGAGGCCCCTCTACCACAAAATAAGGTCAAACCTTTTCTGTAAAGTGGGTGCCACGAAATCATATTTCTAGGCCTCTTTTAGATATTGGCTCCTGTACTACAATGTTTCGGCTCCTTCTACACTTTCACAATACAACCAAGAAAATTAAAGCGCTACATACAGAACAGGTACCCACCTGTGTAACACCCTTCCCATCTGTTACCAGTCTCCACGTGTAGCCTTCCTGTGGACCTTTTGTTACAAAGTGCAGGTTTTCATCTAATTTCGCAAAACAACAAGTAAACATCAGCATCAAAATAAGCCATGTGTCTTTTTCACACATGATGAGCCTGAGAGTATGAGAAAAATGTTGTAAAACAATGGAAAGTATGCTGTCGGTATTAGTGGAGGTCGGCTATGTTGCCGCAGGATAGTTGGCAAGAGTACTAGTATTGAATCAGCTGGACGGTAGCAGGTATAATGTGGTCCTCTGTCATTGGTTGATTTTGAGATGCGGTAGCCAATGGGGTGCGGCCGTGACGTAATAACCGATCCTTGAAGGGTTATTGAGTATAACAGGTGTTCGTGTCACACACTACACGGCGGAGCACAAAAATAGCAGAGGTTAACCATACAGATTACTGGTTAATTATTAACTAGAGTTCCCTGACCCTACTGCTTAATTATTAACTAGCCTACTTCCCTAACTAGAGTTACGTATGGACTATCCAGAACCGTTCTCTATCTAGAGTTCTAGATATACGTATGGACTATCCAGAACCGTGCCTGAGCATGGCTTGATGATAGAACACGATTCTGGATACAACAATTGACCTTCGTACCCCTAACATGGACTGGGTCGTGTGGCGTAGCGGCAGAGTGCTCGACTCGGAAACAAGAGGTCCCGGGTTCGAGTCCTGACATGCCACCGAAGTCCTGACATGCCACCGAAGTCAAGTCGAGTCCTGTGCCCTTGGAAAATACACTTTACACAACTTACCTCACTTTGCTCAGGTGAAAATGAGTGTTGTATTGTCCCCTGTCTTGGTGGCGGCATTAATATAAGTTGAAAAAACCTGAGTGTGCCGTCACCACGTCTGGTGATTAGATGTTTTTATAAAAAAAAACAACATGGACTGGCCCAACGTGAAACCCACGGTGAAAAAGAACACCAGACAGGTACTACAGGATTCTTTCTGTATCTATACGTGTGAAATGAATCTCGTCAACAACACCAGACAGACAAGAAACTTCATGCTTGCCTAGAGCTAATGCTTGCCGTTGAAAACGGACCGACGTCAAAAATCGTTATAAAAATCGTCACATGACTGACTAGCAATTGTACCAAAATACTGTAAAAGTTGACCGTTGTTTATTGTGGACATTAAAAGAAATCACTGATTGTTAATCATAATTAGTTAGCCAAAGGACATAAGGAGAGACTTTATAACACGTTGTTTGTGGGTGGACTTGACTGAGAAAACTAATAAAACTTGAATAACAATTTTTACCTCTCGCTGTTACAACTGAATTTCCTACG